GTCTTCATCTTCGTCTTCCTCCTCATCCTTGATCTTATTCTTCACCCACTTTCCATGAACCCATCTCACCAAGTTTAAAGGAAAAAAATTCAATAAACTTCATGCACCGACTGTAACCTGCTTTGGTGCTCTCCGCTACCCGATCGGATCCATCCTCCTTCCCGCAAACTTCCTTAGCTCGTCATTGCCCAGCGACGTCGTCACAGCCTTTTTTGTCGACTCCGCTACACACAACCTCCTCCATCTAACTATCTCAGCCACGAACTTCTTCGCCTCCAACCCCACCATCTCGGTTGAGTCGATTCGAGTCGTATCAATTCTTCCATCCTTTCCCCTCCCTTTTCGACAAAAGACCTCTGGACTCGAATGGAATCTCGATGATGGCCACTGCTCAGAGCGGAACAGATTTGCCTGCAGATGTGGATTTGGTAAAGCGGCCGGTATCGCGGAAGTGAGTAATATCTGCTTTATTTATCTTACTGCTCTTTCGTCTCCCCGTATTTCGATTCAACCTGGGGGGAAAAGAATTAGCTGCTTTTAAATCTGGGATTTGAACAATCAATATAACCCCCAAGGGAAAAATGGGAAAGATGGCCCACAAAGTGATTCAGCACATTGTTTTGTCGCACCCCATTCTGTCGGCCTCAGGCTGCCTTATCCTCGGGACTTGTCGCAAGATTGATGAACCGCAACAGAGCTGCCTGCCCGAATGTTGCTAGTTGCTATCGTCACATGCCCTTTTAGTCCTGAAAATTCGAAGTTCTTTTGACAGCTTCTGGTGCGCGGCTTCTAACTTTCTATAGCAACCATTTGCAGGACGACGATAACCAAGATACAATTGGTTCCAATCGGTCGACACCTTCTGGCATTGCGACTCCCAAGCCAGATCTCTCAGACAAACGCCAACCATCCATCATGCACAGTTATTTCCAGGTTGGTCTTTCTCCTAGTGATGACAACCGCCCTTCCAATTCATGGCTTCCTTCTTCTGAGACTCTTGCTTCCACCAACGGTATCCAGCCGGGTGCACATGCCACAGATACACGGGATGGTCAAGGCTCTGGACATAATTCATCTTCTGCGGGATCGTTTGTCATGATGGAGCGCGACGAGGCTTCGGACATGAATGCCTCTTCGGATTGCCCTGACAAGAAATTTGATACGCAAGACATCTCACCGGGGTCTCTGCCTCCTACGAATTTGCCCACTCCCCCTTATTCCTCCGCCTGTTCCCTTTTGCAGAAAGAGTCGGAGGAACCCGAGTTGGCATCTTCGGCCCCCGAGAAGGGCATGGGTTCTATTTTCACTGCTTTGAAAAGCTATCTCGCTCCGTGCACAGCCACCAATCCACCTGAATCTCAAGCACGCCGTCATACCTCCCATCCAGTCTCTAGCATCTCCGACGACCCCGTCCTTGCCTCTCACTTCTCCAACCCTTCACTACCTGCTTCTGCAGATTCCTTTAGTCCGCCGGAAGCTCCCCTACTTGATCATGAGAAACCACATGTCTCCACGTCATCTGAGAACCTCGCGAAGCTAACTGGAAATGTGTCTGATCTTTCTCATCCAAAGAACACACCTCCTCTCACCCCTCGCGCCATGTCCAACGAAGGGTCCGAAACTGCTAAGAATCCGCCTGTTACATCATCATCATCAGAGGCGCACCCTTCCTCGGAGCAGCCACAGTCCGACGAGATGGCCACGTCCGCCGACGAAATTGCGGGCAAACTCAACGATGCGTTTCCTTCCCCATCAGAGACTCCGAAGGCAGAGCAACAATCTGGCCCTTCTGTCGGGTCCCTTAAGGGGAAACTCTACGTCAAGATTACTGAAGCCCGCGGTCTCAGGCCAGGCTTTGATCCGTATGTGGTATGCGTGTTCGAATGGAACGAGGTCATCTCCAAGAGTGCCCAGGATGAGGAAGAAGCGTCCATCGAGCGCCGAGAGAAGGAAAAGGAGAAGTCCGAGCGCGAGGCGGGGCGGCCGATGGCGATTCCGATGAAGAGCCGCCAGAGCAGCAACAACAGTGCAATGGAGGGTCACGATTTCAGGGGAAAATCGCCCGTCACGGATCCGCATTGGAACCACGAGGCCACTTTGTATGTTTTCCTCGCCCCGTCGCTCGTATTACTGGCTAACCAGAACAGTGACGTTCTTGGAGAAGAGTCGGAGATCGATGTTTCAGTTTATGATCGCAACAACCAGGAAGCGTTCCTTGGGCACGTACGGCTGTCCCTGAACCTCAAAGAGGACCACAGTCGGTTGGAGGGCTGGTTCCCATTGTCGGCGCGCGGAGCTGGCGATTCTCAGATCTCCGGCGAGATTCACCTGGAGATGCTCTTCGAGAAGACAGAGAAGAAGCAGGTGGGACCAAATGACTTTCAGATTCTGAAGCTCATCGGCAAGGGGACGTTTGGACAGGTGTATCAAGTCATGAAGAAAGATACGCACCGGATCTACGCCATGAAGGTTCTGTCGAAGAAGGTGATCATCCAGAAGAAAGAGGTGGCTCATACGCTAGGCGAACGCAATATCCTGGTTCGGACTGCCATGGCGGCTTCTCCCTTCATTGTCGGCCTCAAATTCTCCTTCCAAACACCCACCGATCTGTATCTCGTGACAGACTACATGTCGGGCGGCGAACTGTTCTGGCACCTGCAAAAGGAAGGGCGCTTCCAGGAGGCGCGGGCCAAGTTTTACATCGCCGAGTTGATTCTAGCTCTCCAACACCTGCACGACCACGATATTGTTTATCGTGACCTAAAGCCCGAAAACATCCTGCTCGACGCTAATGGACATATCGCACTGTGCGACTTTGGTCTGTCCAAGGCCAATCTGACGCAGAACGATACCACAAACACATTCTGCGGAACCACTGAATATCTTGCTCCCGAGGTCTTGCTTGATGAGCAAGGGTACACGAAGATGGTCGACTTTTGGTCGCTTGGCGTTCTGGTCTTCGAGATGTGCTGTGGGTGGAGCCCATTCTACGCGGAGGATACCCAGCAAATGTACAAGAACATCGCCTTTGGCAAGGTCCGCTTCCCTCGGGACGCACTCAGCACGGAGGGTAGGAATTTCGTCAAGGGCTTGCTGAACCGAAACCCCAAGCACCGCCTGGGCGCCAAGGGAGACGCGAAGGAGCTGATGGCTCACCCATTCTTCCATGACATCGACTGGGAGGCGCTTGCCCGCAAGGATGTCATCCCGCCTTTCAAGCCCAAGCTCAAGTCTGACACCGACACGTCCAACTTTGATCCCGAGTTCACCAACGCTCTTGACAACAGTGCCTCGCTGAACGATCGCGCCGCTGCGTTGGCTAATGGATTCATGCCTGCCTCCACGCCACTATCGCCAGGAATGCAGGCCAACTTCAAAGGATTTACCTTTGTCAATGAGAACTCGATCGATCACCACATGAAGCACGACCCGAGCGACCACATGGACGAGGATCCGGAGACGTGGCAGCGGGCACACCACCGTGGCACCTCCACCGACCAGCGCATGAGTGGTATCCACAAGAACAACGACGGCGGCGAGCCGGGCATCTTCAACGTTGATGATAATTTTGATATGTGATAACGTCCTCAAGATGCATGACACTGGAGTTTATCTTTTTTCTTTCCCTTTTCCCGACTTTTGCATATACTACCTTGTTTCCGTTTTGTACATGCCATCAATCCGTGGGGTGTTTCGAGACCTGGTGCTCCCTTCAGGTGACTATTACAAGTGATATGATCAAACTTTGGCTCCATCTACGATGACCTTGTGGACGAGACCTTGTGGGCGAGAATAATGATCTTTCGCCGTCGACCGGCTTTCATAAGCTTGATGGCCCAAGTGGCTTTGCTTTCTCCATTTTTCCTTTATCTATCAACTTTACAGACCATCCGGATAGATGGGTTAGATATCCATTTGAGCTAGGCTACCTACATTCTGCAAATGCTTTTTTTTTTCCCCTTGGAGGTCGATTGGCTACTGCTTTGATCTTTTCCGACAGAAACAGCGAGGTAAAATTCCACACATCCGTTTGGCTCGGTTGCTTCCTTTCTGAGGTCGCTCTGGAAGTGTTGCTGTCATGCGTTTGAGATTGCTCGGTTCAGATAGCCAGGTAACTAAATGAATGTGACCCAGCAATCGCTGGTATCGAATGATTAGTTCTTGTTTAGTACGGCTCGCGTGAGATAGAATGCAAGCAATTTGACCTGCTACCAAACAATAAAGCCAAGACAGTACCTGTCCTGATCGACTTCGAAGACTCCACTCAATAAGGCTGTTGGGAAAGTAGCAACACGGGATTGGATTGCTGCGTGTACGCTGGGCAGGAGATCCCCGTAGTTCACTGCGGTCAATTGAGCCGTCATCGTCGGCCAGTATAGACTTGACAGTGTTTTGGTGTGTACTTTACCAATATCCCATGGCGATGACTTTTGGGGGTGGTCAATGATGTTTTCCTTGTCCACCCCTGCCTTTCAGCTGTTTTGTGTCGTCGGACGTTAAGGCTCATCACTAGATTGCATTTCCCTTCGGCAAATTTGAGTAAACACAGAAGTCTGAAATCCAAACGGGCAGGCATTCTGAAGTCACGAGAAGGTATGCGTCTTCGCTGCTTAATCCTCGAGGCATCTGGGAAAGGGTGCCAAGTTTTCACAATCGGCGTGGGTTGCGTAAGTAGCAAGTTTAGGTGATATGATGTCTGCCTATAATAAATAGCAGATGATGTGATGAATGAATACGGCGATATTCTCTCATATGCTGCCTGTTTCTAGCTCGATAGCGGGCGTACGCGTCTTCTGAACTCGCGATACTTGGCACGTTTCCGCCTCATGGCAAGTTTCCTTCGCGTCCGGAGCAATTCTATTCCATGCTCCCTGTCTTCAAGCGTCTTCGTACTAGTTGCCTGGATGATTCCATCGAGAGCAGCATCACTAATAGTCCAGTGGTCACGAATTAAATGGAAATTAGCCAGTATAGCTTGGAATCGCTCAACCTCAGGCTTATTATCTCTGTCTGATATCAAGGTAAGCCTTGCCATCCTGAACAAGACCAGCCTTATGGACTGCAGCAAGGAAGTCATCCCAACCCTCAGGTGGTCTGTCTAGAATGACACTGTTGGCACCTTGCAGAGATATACCAGACAGTCCAATGCGGCATGTAATGAGGACCTGGCATCTGCCCTCATTGAATTCTTGTATTATTGCTAACCGCTCGTTCATGTCTTTCCTGTTGTGAGTCACCTGGGCGGATAGTCCAGTGCCTTGGAGCAAGCTGGCAAGTGACTCGCCTTGCTTGATGCGAGCAACAAAGATAATGACCTTCTCATCCTGGCAGCATTCTGACACAATCCGTGAGACGCGTATGCGAACAGGCACCGTGCCAATCAAAGATAGAGGTTGCGAATCCAAATGGGCAGCCATTCCGGAGTTCATATGCCACTTTTGACATATATCCACCAAGTAAGCTGCAGTAGATTGCTTCCGCTAGGAAACATACTCTCCGGCTATGGTTGGCATCTTTGCTGCTGAGGCCTTGTGGCATCTGGAACAGGGTACCAAACTTCACGATCGGTTTGGGTTGTCGCAGTAGCAAGTTTCGGTGATATGATGTCTCCCTATGGATAATTAGCACATGATGTGATGATTGAATGGGTGTTCACATACCCTGGACGAACAGGGCTCTCGTGCGTTGCACGACATGAACCTAAGTCTCCGAATTGGGACGTTGCTGACCGGGTGCCCCTGGAGCGAACCTCTCCGTAAGAGCCCATAGAGGCTGACGCTCCCGTTTCTTGTTCTTCGCAGGGACAATGTGCTCTGGCTTAAGGTTAAGCAAAGCTTTCTTCGCTCGGTGACCTCTCATTTGGCCCTTCCTAAAGCTCCTTGCTGCATTGACCTCTTTTAGCAGCACAGCTTCTCTCCTGAAAAGCAGCGAGCCGTTCTTCTGACATTGCTGCCTTCCATCTGTTATCCTACCACATGTCAGTGCGATGATTTCACAAGTATCCATGATGGATGACGAAATCTCACCTTCGGCCTCGAAAGTCTCAGAGCGATGCCTCTGCATCAGCCAAGCAACGATCTGTGCCGCCTCTTGGAACTGCGCCTGGCATAGCCTCCTTACGAGTTATAGCCTTCCACTCAAAGAAGGAGACTATTCCGTGTGACCCCAAGTAAGATACAGTAGAATATCCATTAAAGCACATGTATAGGCCGTTTGGCTTAAGGATTGACCTTAACAGATGTAAATTCGGCGATGGGTAGGGTAGAGGTAAAGATTCGGAGAGAGGGGAGACGGAGTAAAGCTATGAATGCTACCTTCGCTGTGCTTGAGTGATATATTCACTAAGCTTGAGGTACTGGCTGTGAATGTAGTCAGTAGATTAAATCCAATAATAGAAGCTGGCAGTGAATGTAAGCTTTAAGAAAGGGACTGTGTGTTTGGATGACGACGGTCGTTAACCTTCATGAAAGACGGTGATTTAATGAAGCAGATGTTAAGACTGTATGACTGCCACTATTTGTTTATCTTATCTTTCTTGCCGATATCAACCAGCGTCCAGCCAAGTATATTCTTGTTGTCGAAACGCTATTGAGTCTAAGCAGCCCTAATCCCTCCAGTGCTCTGTCTTTCGAAGCTCCCAACTGACTCGATGGTCAAGGCAGGCCAGCAGGCCGGTTGGTAAGGCCTTTAGTAGATTGATCAATTCCTACTGTATGGAACCAAACATATCTTGGCGTTATGTTTGTCGATATGGAAAATTACTGACTCTAGTGAGCGAAAAATAGCTTGTTCAGAAGACAACTTTCAAATATCCTTTGATATCTCTGTTGTTACCTGGAGCTTGATTGCGTAAGACCCCTTGTTTTACTGCTAGAATAGCTACGCATCTTGTAGAGTCAGTGAAATCACAAACTGCAGTATGATGATGGCTTGGAGTTTGAGAGGGCTGCATATTCAGTGATCCTGTCTGAGATATGCGGATATTGACTGTCAAAAGCCTCTATGCAGCGGCACTCAAACCTTCGAGAATTCAACGACGCCGGCTACCAGGTCCTGTGACGTCAAAAGCCGCTATGGGCCTCTTTTGGAAATTCGCGGTCTTAAGGTCATGTCATGTATCAACAGTGTAGATAGCTTTGCCATAGTTCAACCCACTCTCTCCCATGCTTTATAGCGCAGACATACTTTGATCTCCTTTGAGATCTGTTTCATGAACTTCCGCGTAATTATCGTAGAGCGGATGGTCGTCTGTATCGACCCTGAGCATAGAGCTGACCTTCGTGATTTATTGCTCTATCTGAGCTGGTAACAGTCATGTGCGAGAAGTCCAGGGTTTCACAGATGAAGGACTACTGGCCTGTTAAACGACTGTATGCAATCTATGCACTCCCAATGATGCAAGGTGACATGACCAAGTAGACATACATTGTTCTCTTCATTGTCTGTCATAGCATGGCATGAAGCGTCCGCCGTAGTTTCTCTGGAGAGTCGTAGTTCGCTGATTGTATATCAACTTTGAAGGACTAGATAGAGTCAACAATTCAACTACAGGGCAAGGATAATACAGAACAAGACAAGCGTTCTCTATGCATTGGTCATTGATGGATTGATGGAATGATGGTTGAGGTAGTTACATCAACATAACTTAGAATGAGATGAAGGTTGTCTTGCAGAATCTGGTGCTGAGATGAAAGAATCCTGCGTACCGGGCAGCATTGGATGCCTGAGGATGATGACAATTTACAGTGTTCCAAATTACAGAGGGTGACAAGGCCAGTACCCCATCGACATAGGTAGTCGACGGCATGTCAGGATAGCTACACTACGGCTCCAAAAGATTTTGAGACATGAAAATGAATTCACTCTAATTCCATTTTAATCGTAAAAAAGGTCATTTCATGACATCTCATAGAAGATTGTTCAAGCAAAAGTTTTCACTCTCCAGCCCTCTATTTCTTGGTGGCCTTCTGGGCGGCCTTGGTGACCTTACCGGCACCACCGGCGGACTTCTCGACGGACTTGACGACACCAACCTATAAACTTGTCAGCTTCAAATCTTTAATTGGGGACTAGAATTTTTGTACGCACCGCAACAGTCTGGCGCATGTCACGGACGGCGAAACGACCAAGAGGGGGGTAGTCGGTGAAGGACTCGACACACATGGGCTTGGAAGGAATCATCTTGACGATGGCGGCATCACCGGACTTGATGAACTTGGGGTTGTTCTCAACAGACTTGCCGGTACGGCGGTCAATCTTCTCAAGCAGCTCAGCGAACTTGCAAGCAATGTGGGCGGTGTGGCAGTCGAGGACGGGGGCGTAACCAGCGCCGACCTGACCGGGGTGGTTGAGGACGATGACCTGGGCGTTGAAGGAGGCAGCACCCTGAGGGGGGTCGTTCTTGGAGTCACCGCAGACGTTACCACGGCGGACTTCCTTGACGGAAACGTTCTTGACGTTGAAACCGACGTTGTCACCGGGGACACCCTCCTGGAGCTGCTGGTGGTGCATCTCGACGGACTTGACTTCAGTGGTGACGTTGGCGGGGGCGAAGGTGACGACCATGCCGGGCTTGATGACACCAGTCTCGACACGGCCGACGGGGACCGTTCCGATACCAGAGATCTTGTAGACATCCTGGAGGGGAAGACGGAGGGGCTTGTTGGAGGGACGGACGGGGGGCTCAATGGCGTCGATGGCCTCGATGAGGGTCTTACCAGTGACCTTGCCGGCCTTGGTCTCCTTCTCCCATCCCTTGTACCAGGGGCAGTTGGTGGAGGGCTCAAGCATGTTGTCACCGTTGAAGCCGGAGATGGGGACGAAGGGAACGGCCTTGGGGTTGTAGCCGACCTTCTTGATGAAGTTGGAGGTTTCCTTGACAATTTCGTTGTAACGATCCTCGGACCACTTGCAGGTGTCCATCTTGTTGAGGGCAACGATGAGCTGCTTGACACCGAGGGTGAAAGCGAGCAGAGCGTGCTCACGGGTCTGGCCATCCTTGGAGATACCAGCCTCGAACTCACCAGTACCGGAGGCAATGATGAGGATAGCGCAGTCAGCCTGGGAGGTACCAGTGATCATGTTCTTGATGAAGTCACGGTGACCGGGGGCATCTTGAGATAGTGTCAGCTACAGCATCACAACACATCGGGACGAGTCAAGCTTACCAATGACAGTGACCTCATACTTGGGAGTCTGGAACTTCCAGAGGGCAATGTCGATGGTGATACCACGCTCACGCTCGGACTTGAGCTTGTCAAGAACCCAGGCGTACTTGAAGGAACCCTTGCCGAGTTCGGCGGCTTCCTTCTCGAACTTCTCAATAGTACGCTGGTCGATACCACCGCACTTGTAGATCATGTGACCGGTGGTGGTCGACTTGCCGGAATCGACGTGGCCGATAACGACGATGTTGATGTGAGTCTTTTCTTCCTTACTGTAGAGAGAAGATGAGAAGTTAGCCAATTCAGTCTGATGATGAACCGACTTGGACAAGGCCTTTCCACTCACCCCATTTTGACGGTTAGGTTTGAACCTTGTAGTTCTTTGTAAGATACTAGAGAAGTTCTGTGAAAATTGCTCAGGTACTACGGCTAGTATGCGTAGAGGTACTGAGCAAAGATGTTAGTTGGGAAGATGAAAGAAAGAAGAGGACGAAATAGGAAGAAGGGGAAGATATACGTACTGAAGCGGACGAGGAGGGAAGAGAAGAAAAATTCTGTGGGAGGGGAGGAGGGGAAATCCTTATATGGAGGGGTCAAGCGAGACCACGACTAAGCGGCGGGCTCAAACCCTTGGCGAGCCGCTGTTATCATTGGGCATGGAGGGGTAAATGCTCCACTCTGAGGGTGCGGGACCAGCGCAAAATCTTCACAGCGCGGCGGAGTGTCAGTCGGTTGGGCTGTTTCGTTCAGATTTTTCGCGCTGTTGTCTGGTGGGAGATCCTGCATTTCCTTGGTTCATGTCCTTTCGGCGCTCCGAGTCTTGATCCACTATCTTTTTTTACAAGCAAAGAAAAGGAGGGAGCGAGAAAATTTTTTCCTCCCTCTACAATCCTACACAGTATCTACCTATTTCCCAATGTCTATAGTGGATTTCGGACTGCAAAACTGGGCATCAACGCAGGGGGGGGGGTCCAGTACAACCTCTGTATCTACTACTACAACGTACCACACACTACGACGCAGTATATAGTCTACTACGAGCGAGGGGGCTTGATTTCCATGTTTGTAACAGAACCCCGCGGCAGCTCATGGTCTCTACTTGGCTCCTAATGGGCAGCACACGGTGGCCCGGCCGAGTGGCGCCCCTCTTTGACCCACAATTAGGATTTTCACTGTAAGGTCGGCATGGCAAAAGAAAGGAAAACTATCGAGTCTACTCCGTGCAGACGATACCTTAACAGATAGCGGAAAGAATTTTTTACCTCGCCACTATCGATCCAGTTGCTAGGGAGGCTGGATTGTTGCCGCCGACTCTTTCGAGTCACGACCTTGCGTATATACCCCTCATCAGCTAGTTGGGTGAACAATTAGATTTGTCGGACTCCCAAAATGGTTCTCTTTGAGTCACTTGAAAGTTGGTAGATCGCACGAAGCTACGTAATTATAGCCAATCCAGATCCAATGATTATTACCCCTCTATATGTGGCCGCTAAGAAAAAGAAAGGCGGTAAGAATTACAGAACAAGAGCAGAAAGTAAAAAAGGTGCGGCTAATCCGAATAGTCGAGAGCCTAAATAATCAACAGCTACACATGTAGATAATCGACAATGAGGGGTATCTCTGAAGCTCCAGTCTATGAACAACAAATCATCCAACTGCTGCAAGCACATTAAGCAACAGGAAAAAAATATAATTTAGCGCCTTTTTCCATGCTCCATATTCGCCTCGTCATCAGTCTATGAGTCAATCGAGCAGTGCGCTTAGCACAATTATTGCCGTCGTCACCATCACTTGATGGCAGTGATCAATTTTCTCTCCACCGTGCACCGCATGTAGTACACTATCATATGCGATTAGCACTGCGCATGATGCAGCTGCCAGCATGACTGCGGCAAGGGAAACACTCACCTTAAGGAATGTAGTCATAGGTTCATCCGCACTCCGAATCTGCAGCTGGAAGAAGTATGCACGATCGCCATTGCAATCTTCGGCGGGGCACTGAGCTGTAATGCAGAACAAACACATCCGTGTTAGCCTCTACTGCAAAGCTGGAAAACTTCATCTTGCAACCATCAAGCACTTACTGGCCATGCTGTCGGCGTTCGCAAACTCCTCCTTGCCACCAAAGACGTCTTCCACCTCCTTTTGTTTCATGGTGGTCTTCTCCTGTCTACCGTGCTTCAGCAGATGCTGATAGGGACATGTCCGGCACTCGAATCGGTTGACCCCCAGGGGATACTCTCGGGTTGGCTCGCCGCGTGAAATTGTCAGAGAATTGCCGCAATTGGGGCAAACTGGCAAGGTGAACAGCTTAAGTGAGCCTCATATATCTTTCTACCGAGCTGCTATCAAGCTGGCTGGGTATTGAACTCACATGTCAACATCTTGGAGCCTTTCGCAAGGATTCAGATAATCAGTGGATATACTAGGTTTCAGAGTGTAATGCAGACTATCCTGCTGCTGCGCGACAATCTCACGGCAAGTGACTAAGGTCTGCACGATAAACGAGCAGCTGCCTCAGGCGTATCCCTCTAAACAACGACGTCGTTGGCGGAGGAATTTAATCTTTGCCGCGCGGCTGTATGCAAAATGACAGCCAGCCGCCGATTGGCCGCGGGGCACATGCAGCGGAACGGATGATATATCATCCGAGCGGTTATCAGGCAACACTTGGAGATAGGTAGTCTCTGGATAAGGTACCTGAGTTGATGTACCTCTACAGTATCACTAAACAGATAAGGAACAAGAGAACTGGAAATCCTAGGACGCTTCAATCTTCCATGAATAGATAATTTCATTACGCTAGATTCTATTAGATCTCTAGGGATCCCGAAAACGAGCTTGTAGACCATAATTCCCTATTCCCCTTTTGTCTTCTTATTTGTGGTTGTTGCTCCGATCTGCCGTAACAACCTCCTGTCAAGTCTTATTTCGTACAGCTTTCTATTCTACCCCGCATAATACCACCAGACCACACCGCATCATTTTTCTGAGACGGATCTCTAAATTTTGAAATCGTGGTCACCGATACGAGACATTCTTTACAAACCAATTTTAATTCTGTACTCAGCAAAATGGCGGAAGAAGTGAGTGATGTTTCCAGCTATCGTGAACTAAAGGAAACTGACCAGATAGGGCGCATCACCCCGCGAACTGGTCGTCGAGGCCTGCCGACGAGACCAGCCTCACCTGATCGAGCAGGTCATGGAGACAATGAGTGATAAATCGAACGAAGAGGTCGCGGAGTTTTTCAACAGCGTGACGGATGCATTGGGGAACCATGCCCTGCACATCTGTGCCATGTACGGAAGCTGTAGGTCCACATTATCCCCTTCAACCCGCTATCCAATAAATATCAATATAGCTATTAATAATCTGCATTAACAGACGATACAATGGACTTCCTCTTTGACATCCAATACTTCGAATGCGACCCTCTCACCCGCCTGGACAAAGACACCCCCCTGCACAGCGCCGTCCGCTTCGCCAACGAAAAGGACCCCGAGCTCGGTCTCGAAATGATCAAAATGATGTGCGAAGCTGGCTGCGACCCGCGCGTACGGAACAAGCACGGCCAGAAGCCCATTGAGCTGGTCTACAACAACCAAGACATCAAATCCACCCTGCAGCAGGCTGAATATATTCTGGCCGAGGGGCTTCGGGACACCGGGGATAATGGGTCGGTACATGATAGTGCCAGTGACAGCGAGTAGGGCAGATAGATCATAGACGGGCAGATGGCTGACTCTTTCCGGGTGTACGACCTTATGACTATATCTCTCTATACATTTTGGGTCAATAGATTATCTTAACTGTATACTGTTGAGCGTTCTCGTTCATGTTGTTACTTGATGCAGCTCTTTTGATGTACGTAAATCATAGATTATGGCCCATGAGATTACATTCAAGGTATCCTTCTCTGACCATGTACGCTGAGTATGATGAGAAAATGCGAAGACAAGTGATAACACCAGTATTAGAAGACATCAGTGCAGGTCATTTAGCAGCGATGTGGATGCGTCCAATGAGCCTTGTACCGGATAGGGTCAACACGTCGAATATATATCTGTCCGCTGAAGATGATTCCACAAAATGCGACACCAGTAGACTATACAGACACTATATTTCTTATTTTGTATACTTAAACAGTCAACTGAGGGTATCATATTCATCATAGATAATAACGGTCTCACAGATAATAGGCAAAACTCGGTGCCACTCAAACCTAACCATCACTATCGTCGTCCGCCCCGTCATCAGAACCACCACCACGACGTCTTCGACTTCGCCCTGCCTCACTATCTTCGTCATCTCCGCTCTCGTCTTGATTATCAGCCACCCGAGCCCCAGGTCGCCTGATACCTAGACTCCGAGCCAGCCGTGACTCGAATTCCTCCATCTGCGCTCGCTCCGCAGGCGTGGAATCGTCCCCTTCAACAGCGCCCTGACAGCCGTAGACTTCCCGCACTAACCCGGCCACTCCCTGAACACCCACCTCGACCTTCCCCCGCGGCCCGACCATGTACTCGATGATTTCTTCTCCACCGTCCATCTCCCGATTACGGATGAGATATCCCTCCTTACATAGACGCTGGAGAAACCGGTCCGTACGATCGACGGGCGTGTACGTATCAGCATTGGTACGCTTGAGGTAGCGCTCGAGTTTCTGCTCCGGCAAGGAGCCGCCATTGAGCAGGATCACGGCAATTATGAAGGAATACAGCCCCGTATAGGTGCCTTCCAGGGGCGCTTTTGTCGGTGGAAGAATCTCGGGCTTTCTGTACGCAAGAGGGAGGGTACTCGTAAGAATCCAGGACTTGTTTGTGGACGAGGGCCTATCGACTTTTTGGGCGGCTACTTCGGGGTCAGAACATCATCATCACCTGGCTGTCCTTGTAACCAATGCCACGTACCTCTTCGTTGTTGGATAGTCACCTTCTCCTTCACCGGCAATTCGGCCAATTGCATCCCAAACGTCTCTCGTAATGTCTTCTGTGCCATCTCGAAGACGAATTTGAATTGGCGAGAGCCCTGTTCCCCCAGGACCTTTGTGCTTATATCTGTCCGGCGGATCGGTTGCCGTGACAGCTCACTCGCCAGCGCTAGCCGGACCAGCTTCTTAACCATTACATCTTTAGAACTTGGGGCGCGAGCGTCGTCCGGGCCGACATCGTCGTCGCTTTCCGAGTCTGACGTGCGTCTGAGGCGGCGACGAGCGTTCTCTGTAGAGACCGGGCCTGCGAGCGGAGTTGAAACTTCATCGTCATTGTCAGATTCGAGCTGTTGTTCCTACGTTTTGGTACTGATTTAGTCTGGCAACGGATTGATCATGAAGTGACAAGCGACTCACAGCTCGTCGTTTGCGAACTAGAGGCATGGCGAGGGTGCGGATGTAAAATATTGATGAACAGCGATGGAGACGCAGGTAATTCTCAGCGGACTACTCCGTAGTCAGTAAGTCATATTGCATCGCTATGCGTAATTAGGCAGTTTCCTGACACTGTGAAGATTACCCAGACGCGTTTGACGCGCCGTCACTTTGATAGTGGGACCAGGCGTGATTTATCCGCTTCGGGTAATAATACCTTCCCGTTTTCTTGGCTTCCACATATCTAGTCTACATGTTGGAATCACATGCAAGCGCCCATACCTTAAAGAAAATATATAAAAAGGATAAATTAAACAAAGAAAAGGCGAAAAAACAATGAGACGATGGACACTGGATCTTTATACTAAACAATTGATATGCTGCCTTGGTTCTAATACAGCTGCGCTGACTGCATGTGTCCATTCTCAGTGTAGATGCATCCCACAATGACGTATGTATCCATTGACCTTCGCCTGTGGGAATTGATGATGAAAACTGTAATGCCTTAACATGAGCACTGCAGTACGAACAGGCGCTTATGCTTTGGATTAGCTTCAGAGTTTGATGGTGTTCATCAGAATATATAAAAATCTAATCGTGACTGATACAAACAATCCCACCAGGTGTATCCAAATGCGAACCAGAGTAACATACGAACAATGAATTAAAGAGACATTTTGTCTGGCACAGATAGAAAAGGAAACAAATGTAAGCGAACGGATACGAAAGTCCAGGAGAAAGGGAAAAAGGAAGCAGAAGGGAGAGTGACCCTGTATCACTACCACGACATGTCGCTTAGTTGGTTTTGTCATTGACGACCTCTTTGGCCTGGGTTTTCTTCTTTTGAAGAAACGAGCTGATATAGGCCAACGATTCTTGAGATAGGATCAGACTGGTGCTGATGGCAGCCTTGCCTCCTGCAACCATTCCATCACCGCCGCACTTCTTGTATTCCGATCCAAAAGTCTCGAAGACATGGCTTTTCACGTCGCCAGCCAGACGCAAGGGGAAGAAGGCAGTATCGTAGATCGTTCCTTTTATCTTATCTGTGTCCTCCTTGATGATGGGGAATGACGTGTCGAGCTTGGTCAACCCTTGATCTCCGAGGTTATCTACCTGAGCAACATAGGGCGCGACGTAACCGTAGGGCTTCGACAGGTAGGGGAGTAACGGTTTGGCTATGCGGACATAGCCTTGGTCCGCATACTCCAAGGACTTGGCACCATATTTGTTGCTTCTGAAGACGGTGATCGAATCTGAAACGACAGGGTACGAGGTAAGGTGCTACGGCACATTGTGATCAGTAACATGTTACACGGACAACTGTCAGGCAATCAAGCAGACATCTCGGGGGAACTTACATCAAGGAAGTGAGAATGGACCTTCTCGCCGTTGACAGAAGGCTCCCCCATTGTTCCGTTCTCTGCGTGAGGCATAAAGTCTATTATTCAAGAAATGTAAATTAGCAAAAAAGAGGATAGGAGATGTGATGGGATACAACATACCTATAGGAAGTGAGCTGTGGAATCGTGGATGTGAGAATATATCCACCGAGGGAGGTCACGAAGTAAGAAGCTACTTAGGACGAGGGGTGGATAAAGGTAGGTGCTTGAGAGTGGTCGGAAAGTATGAGGGAGATAAGAGTGTAGGAGGATGACTATATACCTTAGATTACAGGAGCGGAATTGGAAATGGGAGGAATTCAGCACATGTCAATCAATCAGTTTAAACTACCTCTGCTGTATTTATAGAGTTAGTATTATTTGCCATCACTCGATACTAAAATCAGTCATGGCATGGTAGATAGGTGTTGTACGGAGTAGTAGTTTCCCTGTCGATTTCTTCGCCCATTCTAAAGTAGGTACCTATTTTATCCTATTATTTTCCTGATGCAGCAGAGGAGCTTGAACTTTGCATGTGAGAGCGGGCCCTGTTTGCTGAAAGCAGGCGCCAAGGAGGGGCTCCCGTTGGTGAAAGTGTATAACCTCATTATCAACGCTCCTACCGTCATCGTCGTATCATCGGAAGAGGGCCTGGAACCCCCCGGTAGCTTTCCGTCCAGAAGTCCGAACCCGAGAATTTCATCTTAAATCATTCGTGTCTCTGTGCCCGATAATCTGCATCTAATTTGACAGGGGAGGGCAAACACTGCTAGAAACGTTCCGGACAGGGAGGTCCTCGACGTTCAGTCCTCTCTGCCACCCGCTTTTGCTTTTCCATGAATCGAATCATTGGACCGAAGCGTTAAGCATGTCTTTCGATCCATTTGAGAACTGAAACATGATAAAAAACTCGGATTACCAGTTCCTCTGCCTTGGCCTTCGTTATCAGTACTCCGTAGTGTGGCAAAGGCGCTTGGAACTCTAGAGATTTGAAAAAAGGTCAAAGATGAGAATTAGGTACCTTCCATCCATATGTTGCATATCAATAGACAATAGGTACCTTAGCATCTGCCATAGGATTCATATCATCTGTCTTTTCAGTTACGTGTAATGACTCCATTGAATGATACTAGGTACCTAAGGTTTGATGTTTTGCAGCATGTGATAGTGGGTCAATCGCTCAGAGGCTGCGAGATGAGGCCCAGTAGGCCCAGTAGCGCCATCAAGGTCCCAATAGAGCTATCAAATATAATAGAGCATGGGATAGGTACTTAGTCGAATAATTAAGACAGCATCATATATTCATATCCCTTCTGCATATCGATGGTAATGCATCATTCACTATTGTTCTTCATGGAAGTAGGGTATACGAGGAGCTTATCAGTAACTAACAGAAGACACCGGATTTCTTTGCGTCTCATCAAGTTCTCGTCCGGGAACAAATATAGCGCCCTCTTCTTCGAAAGGATTCTCTGCAAAGACAAGAACTGTCATTCGTCACGTCTGATTCGATTAGCCTGCCAGACGATTTGATTGATTCTTCCCGTCTGCAAGTTCTTTTAGCTCGGTTCATCGGTGGCCTGAGCGTCAATCAGCATTTTCTTTCTGTTGCGTCAACTCAGTTCATCGAAATGCTTGAGAAGACAAGATGCTGTTGTCAACCGTCGTCGTGCTCCGTACTTTTGTTGCGCCTCCTCGGTCATAAACTATTGTGTAGAAATACGTCCTGGCGCTATTCCTAAACCCTTTAACCCCCCCCTCCGTTAACAGTTCGGTAGCCGCAAATGCTTGCGCTGCGACGTTCAGAAGACTATTGCATGGCCTTTCTAAACTGTGGAGTGGTATTGGCGACCAAAGCCAATGTTTCAATGAGTTAATTCGATCAAAGGCAAACATCGCGAACATTTGTTGAGCCGTGGTGTGTTTTTCTGACCAATCGATATATATATTCAGCCATCCATATGCAAGCGATGCAATCGACCAGAAGTTGAGTGGCGAGCCTAAAATGATTAATCTATCATGCAAATAGAATCTACAGGTACTGAACGATGTTCTTGCGTCACCGGTATGTTCATATTGTTATTGAGTATTGCCTCAAATATGGTGGCATGGTATGTGTGTAGGTGAAGCCGAAATCTCCAAACACACCCAACCGACATGCGTAAATCGGATTAAAATCGCCTCAGGTGGACCCCCTTCGCAACACTAGACAACCTCGGATGGTCGTCGCAAAAAGAGCAAATGTACCCGACATGGGTCAGAATGTACTATCGCAGCTTACAGAGTAGTTTGCATGTACGTGGAAAGACTTTGACATGGGCTAGAAACCGCCAAATACAGCCGTATGACTGGACCCCGGACGAGGCAATGCGCGGATCGTCGCATGCTTCGTCGAGTTTGACACAGAGCTCTGTGCCACAGATCATGTCTTTCGAACGGTATGCGCCTACTGTTACTGAGCGGCAAAGGTAGCTGTATCCTCGGATCTTGAGGCTTGTCTCTACTGTGTTTCCGAGGCGTGGCAACTGATACTGAAATCGATTTGCTGAGGTGTTGGAATCACGAGACTGGTCGAGGGCTTGATTGAACTAAGGTTAACGAAGTTTCGGTCAATATCTGGGCTGATAGATCGTCAGGGTCTGGCGCGGGAATTCGGAATGTACAAAGTTGGAAGGACCACTGCTGACACATGAAGCCGAGTCGAGTGTCTAACAGTCTTCGTTCGCAGCGGTAAGCAATTAGGATACCTGTTAGTGAACCTGCGAAATTGAGTCGAGAACTCAAGAATCGAGACATTGAGACATTGAGACAACAGAAGAGAATTGAATTTGTTCATATTTTCATTTCAGGACGGGCGCCAGTTCTGGATGGCCGCCCTCATAAAAGAAACATGGCCAAGTCTTGGACCTGTGCATCGATACATTCCAAGTTCCGCATCCAGCTATGGTATACTTCTTTCGTTTAATGCCATGCTCATGAACCGAATGTACTCGATGCCCTTTTTTCTTCCCTCCGTTTGCCTCATCTAGAACCTTGCGCGCTCAAACGACAAAACGCCCCAAATACCCCGTTTAGAAACCTGTGTAGGGATAACAATCAGCACACAACTATCTCACTGCAAAGTAACAATAAGCAAGGATTGCACGTACGCAGAGGAGTGAAGAACCATCTGTTCTTGCCGCTGGTGTATCTGTCCTCGAGGGCTTTCTTGACGGTTTTCTTGGCGTCCTCGCGTGTGGAGACTTCCTTGAAGGTCTCCTGGCTGACGGCACCCTTGAGACCCTCAAGCTCAAGAGTGTAACGGGTGGGCATCAAGTGGTTGTAGTTGACGACCTTGATGAAAGGCTTGATGCGGCTGCGCTTCTCGACCATCTTCTTGCCCATGCGGCGGGTGACCTTGAGGGGGTAGCGCTCGATACCGGCGACGATGGCGTAGGGGAAGGGGTGCGCCTTGGAGCCAGTGTCGTTAGGCTGGACAATGACGACCTGTGTTTTCGCGAAAAGGTCCCTTGTCAGCACGTCCTTCTCAATGTCCAATTGATCCCATCCCAAATCGATATCCCTTCCCAAATTCGTCCAGAAAGTCTCTCTTTCTTCCTCTCAAAATCGACCATCGAAAAGTTTCGAACCAGACCCTCCATCCTCAACCAAATTTCCGCTAGAACACGTAGGAAAAGAAAAGGCTTGTCGTACCTTCTTACCGGCGTAACGGCCACGGGTGATGATGGCCACACGGCCCACTTTCATGACTATTTCACCATCCTGTCAGTATGAACTGATATTCAAATAATTGAGAACTCGAGATGAGACGGCATTCAACTAACACTTCATGGTGAGCGGAGCGCAAGGTCGATGGGGTTGTTGTCGATGGTGCTTCGGTCGTGTTATCGAAAGTCTCCCGCGTTCGACGTTCTTTTTTTCGCTTGAGAGTAGTGCACGGCAGGGCTCAGGGCAAGATGGAACAATTGTGTGCCCCAATTCCATTGGCCAGCTTACCGACCAGCCGCAGCTAGACTGTTTTGGGCATATTTCTCCAAAAGGACTAGATCCCGCTCTTCCCGGACAAACCTCTCACCGCCGGCAGATGGACCGTCGTCATGCTTTGTTTACTAGACAACGGCAAAGGCGCTGGTTGCTATGAAGTCGGGCAACGGAGCTTTGATGTGTACAGCGCAGATTGGGCCGGGACTGCGATCGATGCCCCATGAGCTACCGTTGTTTCTCAGCACCAGCGCCAACTCCACTTCCATGTTTTCTTTATTCTGCTACTTAAAAAGTGATTGATTGTCTCCTCGTCGCGAGGTATCTAAATTTTAGAGTTGCTCCTCTGTGTGCCTTTAACTCCATCGCACGTTGCATTGTCCCTTTGTCTTCATTGTTTTACCCTGCTGTTTCCGTACTTCTTGCAGCAAGCGCAGTTATTGATTTTGATCTTGCTTCCTTAACTTCCTGCTTATTGTTTTTACGATCTGATATGCCCTTACGACCTTACATTTGACGATCAACCCTTCGCGCATTCCGAGCAATTCTCATTCTAATACACATCTCATTTCTTGCAATCCTCTACGAAGATACCCACTTAACCCACTCATCCCACTTATCACAAGTCACTCCTGAACGCTGCGCTATGCCGTCGTCTCATACTCGCGATGCTTCCCGTGACCGGGAGCTCGTTCTCAGACACCAGTCGGTGCCCATGTGAGTCACTGTTTTTGAAAGTGCAAGACGAATTGCTTGAAATCGACAGCTAATCTTGGTAATGAAGGTGGGATAGCTCAGATCCCGAACGGGCACCTCCGCCGCTGCCATTGAACCCAAGTTCTACCAGCCCAGCGACAAAAGGCAATGTCTCACCAAATATCCAAGCTGTGGCAGCGAATTTTGCGGAGAAGATGAGAGAAAACGTACCCAGCCCATACACAACGAACCCAATGCCACCAAAGTCTTCGCCAGAAAAGTCGCTCATCAAAGGGCAATTTCACAAGCGGATGCAATCTTTGCAGAACGCAGACACCCGGTCTGAGTTTCTGAACTACCTAGAGAGTAGGTCACCGGAAAGACCTCTACGAGCATCAATTATGGACTCCACCACTCGACCAGAAGAAAAGAGTCCAACGAAGTCAACCGGTTCCTCGGACAGAGATTCAGACAAGGATGCCCCGAACCTGCTAATCTCAAATCGGTACCTCTCCAAACCTATTCTCGGAGAGAGCACCCCCCCTTCTGCCACGATGTTGGCTCTTCAGAATATGCAGCTGCCTGATGAGGGCGGACCTCAGCCTAAGCATGGCGAGTCCGACCCTTTTACAACACCGAAACGTCCAAGCGTCCACAGTCTCGAAACCCTGTCTACACAAATCATCAGTCTCACGGACATTGCCAGCAATCTCCAACGTGAAATGGCTCAATTGAGCCGACGAAGCAAAGACAATGCCACAGACTTGATCAGTCTTAAAGCCGCCACCAACGCTCGAGACGAAGATATTAGGAAAAGTCTCCGCGACCTGTCCTCAAGTTTGGCCGCAAAACTCCTAGACCCTGATACTGCCACAAGGTGGGATTTCAGTTCTTTCCTAGGTTCTGACCAGAATATTAACAACAGGGAATCGGATAGTTCGCCTCGATCGTCCAGGAAGAGTTTTTCTGCGCAACGGATGCCCAGTCCGAACCCTTTCGCTGCAGCGATGGAACGTGAACTATGCGTGTCCCCTACTCCCATATCTGACGGATCAGCCAGCATAGCATTGCTGGAGAAAGTCCTGCGAGAAATGGCCACCAAGGAAGGCCAAGAGAAGCTCCTGGACCTCGTTGATGAGATGAAGTCACGGCCCTTGGAAGACTCTTCCGACAGGCAATCGGACAGCACTATCGTAAAGATGCTGGAAGAAATCCTTAATTTGGTGAAAGAGGGCTCGGAAAGCAAAGCATTGGTCCGCTCACGGGCTGTTCCGCCGCAGAGGAGCGCCAGTTTCCATGCTACTGATTCTAAGATTATGGATCCCGAACAAGCATATGGACCGGACATGGAAATCATCCAGAACGAGAGTGGTCCCGTCGCCGAACGCCCAAACCAACAGCTAGACAATTCCATCGTGGAGGAAATGCTGGCAATAATGCAGCGCGTTAAGACCAGTGTCATTGAAGGCGGTGGGATGACCAATGAAGTCAAAGCGTTGGTCCGAGAATTGCGAGGTCAAGTTTTGGGAATGGGACGAGACCTTGCCCGAAAACTTGAGGAAATAGAGAATATTCGCTCTGCAGGGGACGACGAACCCAAGGCGCCCAGCAAAGACGAGATCGCTGCCATCGTCGAGCAAAGCCTTCAAGAGCTGAAGAACCAACTATCACAAATAATGAATGAGCATAGACAACATGCCTCAGCGTTGTCGGAGTTTCGATCAGCAATGGATGGCGCCGAGATCTATTCCATTGTGAAGAGAGTCGTTGAAGAGCACGCCATGTCCCAGCCTCAGGAACCCTGTCTTCAGAGAGACGAGATACTGGAAACGGTTAGGGAAGCTTGGGAGACGTACAAGCCCGAAATTGAACTTCAGAATTTTGGTCTTGAACGCGACGAGATTCTAGAGTGCTTGAGCGAAGGGCTCAAGGCATACCAGCCGCAACATGAACAAGCTGTGACTTATGATCAAGTTTTGGCCGCTGTTCAGGCAGGAGTTCAGAGTTTCGAGCAACCTCCAACAGTTACCAAAGACGAAATCGCCCAGACCATCCGTGAATGTCTGGAAGAACACACTCAGCAGACTGCCGATCGGCACCTTCGTCACGATGACCTGGCTGCTGTACGGGACGAGATACTTCAGGCAGTCACCGAATCATTTGCCTCCCAGAGCGCTCTGACCAGAGAAAGTTTAGATTCGGGTCTTGGTCGCGATGAGATATTGACTGCTCTGTCGGAAGGGCTGGAGACCCATTTCAACGCGGCCAAAGGAACAGAGCCAGTCCACATCACGAAGGACGATGTCGTCAACGCGATAAATGATGCGTTTGCTGCCCAAAACTCAGCCATTAGTACGAAGGTCGAGTTAGATATCTCGCGGGAAGAAATCTTGGCCGCAATTGCAGAGGGCCTGGAGAACCAAAACTCGATGATTAGGGAGATTGAGCTCAATAAGGAGGATTTGATGGAGGCAATATCGGCCGGCCTTCAAGAGGCCCTGAGCTCAGTGAATCTCAACGCCGGGGAGCAGGCTTTGGAACGTTTTCAGGAGCTCGTCCAGGAAATCAAAGACAATGTCCAACAGCAGGCTCCTGCCGGCGAGAAAGACACTGAGCAGGTGCTCGAAGCAATCAAGGACGGCCTAGCTGCTGTGAAACAAGAGGTCGAAGGATACGCTGCAACTGCCGTGGAAGCTTCCGGCAAACATGAAATCATGGACACGGTCAAGGAAGGATTCCGATTGCTCCACGCCGACATGGAAAAGACCATCGCGGATACTGCCCTAGCCAACAGCCGAGGGGGTAATCCGGACACTCCAGAACTTCTTGATGCTATGGAGAAGGAATTTGAGCACCTTCGGCAAACCTTGAGCTCTCTCCTTATTCGCACCAATGTCTCCAGCGACAAAGACGAGATTCTCGACGCCATTCGCGATGTATCGGAAAGCCAGAAGGCCCCAAGCGTAGACGACATCACCAATGTCATCAAGGAAGAGTTCGATAGTATTCGTGAGACTATGACCACGAGCCTTGTTCCCGCACAGCCCAAATCCGACAAGGACGAGATCGTCGCGGCTCTCCGTGAAAGCCTCGAAGCGTTTCGTGAAGAGAACAACCAACCTAAAGATAGCGGAGACAGTGTGTCATTCTCAACTGGTGAAGTCATTGAGGTCCTCAATGATGGCGTGGCTACAATTCGGGGTGACCTATCCAAACTTCTCGACAGGCCTGAGCAGGTTGATCATTCCGAACTTCTCGATACTCTGAAAGAAGGACTTAGCAGCCTGAAGGCGGATGTAGAATCATTGCGTCAGTCACAGGATGAGTCAAGGGAGCCTGAAGCTACCCGAGGCGGGGAATTGATGCTTGCAAATGAGCCGAATATCAGCAGCGACATCGAAGCTCTCAAAACCCTCATCACCGAGCTACAGATCAAGGTCGATGCCATAGAGTCTGCTCCGCGTGCACCGGAACCGTCGGAAGATGCCCTGAGAAAAGAGCATCTGGACGAGGTAATCGCCGGCCTACACGAACTCCAAAGCTCCGTAGCCGGTATTGTAGCTCGGGAAAATCCGGTGGATGACTCGACAGCGAAGAAGGAGGATACAGATGCCATTGAAACGCTACTGCGAAACACGAAATCCCAGCTTGATGAGTTGAAATTTCCAGCCCTAGACGAAATCGCTAAGGCGGAGCAGCTGGGTAGCCTCGAAGTCATCGTCCACGAGACAAAGGAAGCGATCACTGAACTTTCTGCTCGCATAGAAGCCGAAGGACCAACCAAGTCAGAGATTGGTACTCTGGAGACTCTTTTGAAGGATATGTGGATCGCTTTTGATGAGCTAAAGAGCAAAGGTTCGGAAGGCGAACCTGATGCTGAAAAGCTCGTCAAATCGGATTTGCAAACAGTGGAAGCCATGATATTCGAGGTGAAAACTCAGGTGGAAGAACTGAAGCTTCCTGACGTTGAGACACTACCAACAAAGACCGACATCCAGGATCTGTCAATGCTTGTGACTGACTTCAGAGAGAAAGTAGAAGCCGAAAACGAGTTGACGGCGCAAGGATTC